GTAAATAATCGGTCTTGGTTGTTCACTGCCTGACTGTCTGCTTGTACTGCCTTGAGTTCGTGCTTCTGGCAGACTTAATGCCCCGAGATTCCACAAGTAAACTTCACAGGATGACTGAGACGCATACAGACTATTTAAAATAACAGCATATGTGCTGCTAACAAACTCCAGAACTTAGACCTTCTCTTTTCTTTCCTTTCTCCCTTTCCGCTCCCTCAATTGTTACTGTGTGGCTTTACTTCTTACTTGTTCTTTTGTGATTTTGTTGGTGGCAATTAAATGTAGTGGAGGTCTGGTAATTAGCTGCTGTGATTAGAAACCCCTTCAGGTTAGGAGTGTGTTTCCTTCTCATGCCTTAGGAGCTGTCGCTGGCATTCCCTACAACACACCTGCACCTGGCTGGTGGGGGCCGGAGGGGGTGGTGGCTGCACACAACCCATGCAGAGGCCCCTTGCATCCTGCCTCAGACTCCTCGCTGCAGCTGGGAGCAGAATGGCAAGCGTGGAGGGCTGCTCTTCCAGTCACAACTCCAGATCTGCAGGTCCCTGGGCGCACACTGCCATGCTGGCATCTAGACAGTGTCATCCGGGACAAGTCAATCCCTGCCAGAAAGGTATCATCTCCCCAAAGGTTGACTGTCTGCTGTTTTTTCCTATTTTGGGCCAAAGGAACTTTCAGGATTAAAAAAAAAAATAGTTTATGTTTCAAATGGGAGTATCAGCATCTCTTGTCAAAACACAAGTTTAAACAAAAACAAAAACAAAAAACCTCATGAATCCTCCTCTCTAAAATTCTCTATACTTTCTTAAAAACAGAAACAAACACAAAGATCAAAAAACTCTCACAGACCTAAAATAAAATCCAAGTGAAGACCTCCACCTGGGGATAGGTGTCCCTGGTGTCACTGAGGAAAAGAAGCCGTGCTTGTAACCACTGCTACCAGATGCTCAACTTGGCAGAAACAAAAAGGTCTTAAGTTGCTGCTTGCCTGTTCTACTTTTTCAGCCTTGACTCCCTTTTCTCTTGCATCTTTATTTGGGGGCTTTAGATTTCGGACCGATGAAGGGGGCTTGCTCCAGGGGCCTAGAGGAGTTTGAGAAAGCTCTTTCTGGGACTGGATCTGTAATTCCTTGCTGGACTCTGACTCCCTTAAAGGCAGTAAGAGAAAAGACTGGGGCCAGCGCCTTGGAGCACCTCGCCCCTCGGCCCTGCCGGGAGGTCTCCTCAGACCAGTGTGGACCTGGATGTCCACATGTGCTCATGGGGGTCCTCCAGCTCCCCTTTGAGCATCCAGACAAGTAGAGGCTCTGCCCCACCCCTGCCCCCGATCCCCGGATCTGAAGACGAGGCAGCCTTTGAAGTGATTCAGCTGAGGTTTGACAATTATTCAGAATCTTTCCTTTTTTTTTTTTTTAATTTAAAAAATTCTTGTGAGTTTGGTATTCTATTCTATAATACTCATATATCTATTTTGGTCGTAGGGACAGAAGATATTTTCTCCACCAGATTTGTGATTGAAATGGACGCTGCCACGCAGATGGTGCACATCTGTTGTGACCTGGTGGGTGGAGCTGATAAAGAGCTGCTGACAAATAGCAGCCGCAGGAATAAGACGAAAGCCTTTGACTAATCAGACGGAGCTGCCCCAGCGGAAGCGGATCAAGAACCATTTGGCAGCCCTTGGAGTGAACGCCGGCTGCCTCAGAGGCTCCTGTGGCTGATGTCCAGTTTCTAGAGACGGTGTCTGGTGAGGCCCTTGCCCTGTCCCACTTCTTTCTTGGGGTGCAGCAGCCCCTTTTCCTCAGATGTGGGCTGTGGTTCTATGACTTGGTGTCACGGCGAGGACTCAGGCTGCCTGGCTGGGTCTTCGCTTTGCCCTTCTTATGTCACTCTTTGAGTCTGGCAACAGGGATCTGGACACTGTTGTACATCTATGTTCCTGACGTTAGCTTGTCAAGGAAACCTAAGTGTCCTGTGATGATATAAGTCCCCTAGCAGCAAATGGAGCGGGATCACGGATTTGGGAAGAGTAACTTGACCATGGTGTGCGCTCCCTAAATCTCTTACAATCTGGAGAGACTGAATGAAAATACAATTGGCATAGACTCTGTTCTTCCCTTCTCTCCAAGGTTTCCTTCCATGCCGTGATATGATGGACTCACGGGCACCTGGTTGGCTTACTCTGCTCACAGTGGATCCAGAGAGAGAAAGGCATCATGCCAGAAGTTCCTTAGCAGGCAAGCTCAACGCAATTGCTGTGTCTCCACAGGTCAGACCTTCTTCATGGAAAGACGCCCCATGAAGGGTTCACATGAGCTACTTTCCAATCTCAGTTCCTCTCTCTTGCTTTCTCTCTAATTCCTTCTTCATGGAGGCATATTCTGCTTGCAGACTGAGTTGTGTTCTTTTAATTCTTCCTCAGTGCACTTCGTTTCTACCCAAAATATCACATACAAGATATTTCCAAACACACGTCTACTTCCTGAAAATATTCTTCTCAAACATATTTAACCTAAGATTTTTCTCTTATTTTGGTATAATGCATTTCACCCCTAATCAGTACTACAGGGCTGTGAGACCGTAGCTCTCTGAGCCTCAGCTGCCACAGCAGAAAACAGGAGAAAACTCCCCTCCCAGAGGTGTTGAAAGGATTCCGTGAAGATGATGAACGCTGTTTCTAGCATGAGACCCGCCATGTACAAAGTCCTAAGCAATCTGAGTTCCTCTGTTCTTTTCTTTGAAGGAACAAACTTGCTAAATACATACAGCCCCCAGGAGTCTGTTTTGATTTGGGATAAAAACACATTGAAACCAATAGTTTAGGGACCCAGCCCACTTTATACAACTAAATGGGTTTGGATTTTACCCTTATTTGCTAAAAACCTACCTAAGATCGCTGTTGCTGGAACTTAGTCTTTATAAAGTATACAAAGGACCTTATGTTGAGCATTGAAGAAAATATGTGATCCAGATGTTAAAGCAAAAGACAAACCTTGAATCCCACATCAGTGTTTGATATATGTTATTTGCATTGTTCCCCTCGGGGTCTGATAGACGTGCTCTTGCCTAACTTAGCCACAGTGTTCACAGGTCTATAATATTCCTCCCGTCTCTCATTCAGTCTTGATTCCCCATCAGAGAGCTTAGTAATAATACACCTGAGTTAGAAAATTGAGAGAGCATTAAATGAGCTAATAGCAAACACTTAGCTGGGTTGTAGGTCATCAAGGAGTGTAGCTCTAATGATTTCTTTTTTTTTTTTTTTCCTTTTTGTCTTTTTTTTTTTCGTGTCTGGCAACGGATCGCAGCCCTCAGTGTCGCACCCGTACCGGGCCGGGACCGGCAACAGGATCGCAACCCTTGGTGTTGCTCCCGCGCCTCGCTCAGCCAGTGAGCGGGAGCCGGTCTGTATGTGGGATCCGAACCCTCGGCGGGAGTGCCATCGTGCTCCCAAGCGGCGCACTGTAGCAGTGCACCACCGGGCCGGCCCTCTAATGATTTCTGCAGCTTATTATAGAAAGGCGGAGAAAGCAGAGGTAGAATATGTTTAATATATTTTAGGCTCTGATTTACCTTGAGTTCCTTAGATTGGTGGTTCTCAACTGGGAATGATTCCCCACATTCCTTCACCCACCCTCCCAAACAGAGACAATTAGCAATGTCTGGAGAATTTTGATTGTTGTGACTGGGGGTGGCAGGGGAAAGGTGTGTGTTGGGGGAGGGTGCTGCTGGCATCTGGTGGGTAGAGGCCAGGGGTGCTGTTAAACTTCCTGCAATGCACAGGACAGCCCTCACACAACAGACAATGCTCTGGTCTTAATGTCTAGTGCTGAGGTAAAAAATCCCTGCCTTAGATGGATCTTGACTTTGTTAGGCTCTGTGTGTGAGCAGAAGAGTTTGCTTTCTTCAGTAAATTAATGATTATAAGTCCTAGGTTTTTCAAGTGTATCTACCCACGATCTCTCAATAAAATAATGTAGAATTTAATAAAAACTACTTTGATCTTGGCATCTCAGCATTTTTTATTATGATGGTGACAGAGTGGTCATGTTTTTATTTTTAAATTAAAAAAAATTATTGCTGAAAAGTCTAATGTGTTTGCTGTGAACCTAAAACTACTCTAAAAATAAAGTCTTAAGGAAAAAAAAAAACTAATGTGAGTGGAATAGTGATTTGTGATCAGTGGAAATTTGTGATTTGTCTGTGATTCTTTTCTAAGTGAAAAGTTATGGTCACATGAGTTTCAGGGATAAAACTTATTTCAAATGAGATTATTCAAATTCTTTACCTTTTTCCTAATCATTAGATTCAACAACAACAGCAAAAGCTCATTTTGATTTAATCAGGTATGGGAATAAAGCCCACAGCTATTATACTGTTCAAGGATTGCAAATCTTTCATATCCAGGACAAACTGAGATTCTGTGTTCTTAATCCTTCTGCTACACCCCCTCGTGGTTCCACACTTATTACTTTGTTGGTCATTTAGCTATCTTGGGCCTCAGTTTACTCATCAGAAAAATGAGAGGTCAGACAATTAACCTTCATAGTTGTTCACAACACCAAGATTCTATGCTCTTGTGGGGAATTAAGTGTGGGTACGTAGCTGGGTTTTGGGGAGACATTTTGAGTGGAGGGTCACTACATAGGGTCTTGCTGAGACATGAACATGCTGGGTACTTGTGGCCCCTATGAGTAAGATTTCAGGAACTCAAGGGAATCTCTAAGCCACCAAGTCCTCCTTTGCTCCTCCCGAATATCTGCCTAGTACCTGGGGATCTGTCTTCCCCAGCACCTTTTCCTTTTCTTTGTTTTCTTGGGGTCTGGGTTGCAATTGATTGGGTTACCTTGGCCTCAGGTCCCTCTTTCCTGAGACTCTGCTCAGGCAGGCTGCGAAGGGGCCCAGGCCCTTGTTGACTCCAGAAATAGTTATTACAGGAACGGCAGTAGGTTTGGAGGCTTTGTCCTGTCAGCAGAGATGACTTCTGCCCCAGACCCCTGACTGACCTTGGTTCCTCTGCAAAGGATGGAGACAGGTGGAGGGGGCTCCTCGACAGCATCTAATATCAGATGTGGGATAATTCAGAGAAGAGAGAGGTGGCAGAGTGCTATGATAATAGCCCTTGTGAACCACACCTCATGGTGTTTATGCCCTTGTGTAGTTTCCTCTCACATTGCTCTGGGCCTGGCCAAACAACTTGCTTTGGTCAGTTGGACATTAGTAAACATGATACAAGCAAAAGTTTGATAAGCTCTTGTGTTTGGGACTTGCCCTCTTGGAACCCAAGACCATGCAAAGAGAGAAACCCAGAAAAGAGATAACCTCAAGTCAGGCAGGTGAGTGCGACCGTACTAGATTATCCCACGCCAGCTGAGCTGTCAGATGACTGCAGACGTGAATGATCCCAGGCAAGACAGCAAAACAACAGCTCAGCTGAGCTCAGCCCCAAATTGCCCACCCACAGCACTGGGAGCAATAATAAATGTTTTCAGTGGTTTGTTATAAAGACATTGATAACTGACATGAGCTGGTTGCTATTCAGCCATTAGTTTATGAGATCTGCAGGACTGGGAAAATCAGCTCAGGTGCCCGCCACCCTCTCCCTTGTTTGCTGTGGCTTATATGCATCTCCTCTGTGCCCTCAGAATGTCTCTTGCCCATTGCTTATTCGTTGTACTGCATCAGTTTACTTGTTCATTTCTCTCTGTGACCTGAGCACCTTTTCAGCTCAGTATCTCTAGGGCTCAGAACAGAATCTTTTAAAAAGTTGGTGCTCAATGGGCAAATGGAAATGGAGAAAGCACTTATGAAGCAAGGCTTTTTGTTCATATTATAGAAAATCCTGAAGTGACAGACATCACCTTACCCTTGAAGTCTTCCCGATGCATCAACTTGCTCTGCAGCTGATGGCCCACTAAGTCAAGCTGTGGGCATTCGGGAGCTGGTCATGGCAGTCAATCAGGACCCTGTTAACTCTGCTCCTCAGCCAACTTTCACCTTGCCTCAGTTTCCACCAGCTGTTGACTTTGAGTTCCTTGAAACTTATACCCTGAGCTGGTGCTCCTGGCTTAGGACATGGCACTTTCCAATGACTTGACATCTGGCTCCTCCTCCCTGCAGCAGAGCCCTGGCTCCATCCTCTGCCCACCCCCCATCCAATTCCCCATCTCCCTCTGTCTTCTGACCTGTGAGATTTGGTGGGGGACTGCTTAGGGGCAAAGTCCACTGGTGGCCATTACATTAAGTGTCTTAGCCATGGGAAGAGGAGTAATGAGGAATGAGGTGAAGGCTCCTACACAGTCCAGACTTGGTCCTTTTTGATTTCTCTGTATTTTTATTATTTTCTTCTCTGTCATGACAAAAAATTTATTCTTGTTAAGGTGCTTTATTTGAGTGGGAGTCTAAAAGAATATCACTAAACAAAATAATATTACTGTGGAAAAAATCCCTGAGAAAGGTTAAAACTAATAAATGGCCATAGAATGGTTCTGTTTTGCATTGGAACTCCCCGCTTTGGCATTTGTGTCTAAATGAGGCAACAGTTTTGCATTCAGACAGGCTGAGAATGTCCAGCAGCTGTTAGAATCTCTCTAGAACATCTAAGGATGGGAATCTGGCCCCGTTTATATTAACATCATTTATTACCATTTGTTCAGATTTTTAGTTTATAAAAGTATCATGAATTACTGGTCTCTCTGGATCCATTACAAATTTGTAGCATAAGAAGACGGTAATTTCCCCCCACCTCTACACCCCCCCCAAAGACATGCATAAAACATGATTAATGCCAACAAAATGAACCAACTCAAACAAAAGTATTTTGTTTCCTACCTTGAAGTTCTTTTGATTTGAGGTTTGTAGAAATAAAGGAAGACAGGATGTTAAAATGTGTTTTCAATGGAGAATCTTATCTTCTCTTTTAAATTCTAACTCGTTTCTTTTAGAATCTCAATTGTCCCATGGATCTTTAAGGAGACTGGGTTTACTATTATTTTTCTGAGCCAGGGTTAAAAGGGTTCTGCTGATTAAACTGAAAATTTCCATCACATAAACTAGAACATTTACTAGCAATCGCAATCTCGGCACTAAGCACTTCAAATGCATGGTTTCATTTAATAATCCCAATAATTTGAATAAGTGGGTATTAATATCCTCTTCTTAGAGATAAGGAATCAGACTGAGAGGTTAAGTAATTTTTCCAAGGTTATTTAGAAAGCAGGAACAGAGCTGGGAATTATAACCAGCTTGTATGAACCCAAAATACATTTTTTAACTCCTCTCACCTTCCAAAATTACAGTTAACAATCCTTGGAAAATGTGTCATCTGTCTTCTATTGCAAAGGACAAGTGTGCAGTTTAAGGAATAGGCACTGGGTTTTTAGAGTAACTGACTTCAGGGCTGGCCGGTTAGCTCAGTTGGTTAGAGCACAATGTTCTAATACCAAGGTCAAGTGTTCAGATCCTTGCACCAGCAAGCTGCCAAAAACGACCAAACAAAAAAGAATAATTGACTTTAACTTTTGGACCTTTTCTTCTCTGTCCTTGTGTGGAACCATGAAATAATGCTGCTTTGACATTTGTGGCAGAGAAAGCCAACTGTCCACCCAAAGCTCATGGACCCTTCCAAAGTACAGGGTGCTTCCTGGAAGCAGCTTCCTAGCCAGGGATATTACTAGTTTCACCTGTGAATGGAAATAATGTTGGCGGCACCTAGGTGCTTAGAGGTGGCTAAGCAGTTTGCATGTCTTCTACACCTACCTGCTGGGAGGTGACACCCAGAGGAGCTTGGAGTAGGAAATGGTGGAGCCTCCTCCTTGCCAACCAGAGCAAACACATTGAAGTGTTAAGTGAGGACTGCATTTTTATAGTTAAGCTGTTGAAAGTGGGGGGTTTCTTTGTTACAACAGCTAGTGTTACCCTAACAACAACAACAACAAAATGCCTTCCTTTGAGTTTCCTTTAAGAGACAGTGGGTTCAGTGCTAACTGAAGTGAGAGTGACCCACCAGCTGGACAGAAGGTGGTGTGCCTCTGCACTTCACCAAGGGGATTTTCCAGTTGCATAGTTGATAAGAGCTGTATTGAGGGTCAGACTCATTTAAAATTTGAGCCTGGGGTTAACAGAGACAGGGATGGGGACAGCTGGGGACGTCAGGTGAGGCTTTGGGGGAGGAACCGAAGTCAGCAGTCTTCTCTTTTTTCTGTGGCTCGGTCAGTACATATTCAACAGTGGGAGACTAAAGAGACAGGGCGGAGATAACTTCAGATTTAAAAAA